TATATACCCTAAAGAAGTGAGAGCCATGACAAGAACAGATATATGCACACCCATGTTCATCGCAGCACTATTTACAATAGCCAAAAGATGTAAACCACCTAGATGTCCATCAACTGAGGAGTGGATAACCGAACTATGGTACATACACACAATGGAATAGTGTGCAACATTAAAGAATAATGTAGAATCTACAAAACACCGCATAACATGGATGAACTTGGAGGACATTATGCTGAGTGAAATAAGTCAATCACAAAAAGACAAATATTGTATTAGTCCTTTATTGTAAAAGTTAAGGAAAGGCTTATCTATGGAAGGAGATTTTCTTTGTTGGTTACCAGTGGTGGGAGTGGAGGGGAGGAAACACTGTTAGACAGATAGAGATAAGTATTGATTTGGGTGAAGAGAAGGGCAGGTACCAAATGTGAGAGAACAATATGGCACCATTGCGGATGAGAAAGACATAGAGAAGTACAGACAACAAAGATGAACCCTTTTGCACATACAGTATTGCATTGTCAGTGAAGCAAACATGGGTATATAGTTGGATAGATGGGTGGACAGGCTAAACGATTATGTATGTCTATGAAATGGGGAGTGTATCCAAGAACATATATAGGGTTGGCAGACAGTGGTCCTATAAGTTTATGTGAATGATCAGAATTCCCAGGTGTATAGTAGAGCTGACAAGGGGCAAGGTTGTGGTCACTGCTTGGTCACAGCCAGCTATCGAGAGGGACCAAGTAGTTGAACCTGCAGGCTTGGGACCATAGTCACAGGGGACATCAAGCTCAATTGACATAACATACTATAGAAAACATTGTTCCACCTCCTACTTTGGCAGGTAGTGACTGGGATCTTAAAAGGTAGCAAGCTGCCATCTAGATGCAATGATGGGTCTCTCCTTGTCCAGAGCAAAGAAGAATGAAGAAAAACAAAATTCATGGAAACATTTACTCCTCGCACCTGGTACACCATCTGATCTGCAGCCAAATGACTGTGAGACCAGAAGAACTAGATGGTGCCCGACTACCACTATCATCCACTTGTAAGGGGATCTATGTAGGAGATTCTTGATAGAGAGGGAGAACAATGTGGAACAAAACTCAAAATCATTTGGAGGAAATAAAAAGGCGGGGGGTACCAGGTTTGCTGGTCTGATAGAGCCTGGTGGAACCACTGAGACTATGGCCCCTAGCTGCCCTTCAGGTCTG